TGATAACAAGATGGTATCTATTCTCCAAAGAGACTAGACCACAAAGTAGAAAAACTCAAGTAAAAGAAAGTTGGAGGTCATGCAGCCGACAATCCGAATCAAACCGAACTTCCAAGTTTTACATTTGTGGTTGATTGATCCCAATAAATTAACATTTATTAGTGAAAAATAATTGGGGGAAAAGGGAGTGTTCTTAAAGAGGGGGTGGTTAGAGAGGATTTACGGTATTTCATTTTTATAGAATACAGTAAGAGGACGGATGTACTCAAGTATATTTAGGTTATTATATACATTTCCCAAAAGCAATTATCATCTATCATCGACCAGGAGTGACTGGACTTGAAGAAAGAGAAATCCAAATATCCAGTGAAGGACCACGCCCTCTGTTCGATTTAAGCTTCATTTAACAAGGTCTTAAATAGATTTAGAACGAGAAATTATGAATCTTTAGTAAAGCTCGGCCCTAACAATGCCATATTGACCGTTATGGCTTTAGGCATACTGCCCGTCTTAGTTTGCTCGGTCATCTGTCCCTTCTTAAACTCCAAAACGGGTATGTTATATACTTCTTTACCCCACTGCTGCTCTCGACGATGAAACTGCAAAGAGAGAAAAACGAGTTAGCTGAAAAGGTCGCAACACAGACGTCCCACTCCCATCCCTTATCCCCTTAGCCCCCACTGCGCCACTTAAGGTTTACAGAGTATAATATAAATTTCGGACAGGAGGGTGTGTCCCTTTAAGAATTTGCTGCATGCAAACGTACCTCACTGACAAGTGGATAGGCCTGTCTCCCTCTTCATTTTCAAGGCCGTACTGGATGATGCCTCCTCGTCTTAGGCAGAAAAGTCGCCACTTACGGCCCCACATCTCAAAGCTTGGCGAACATATGTCGCCGTAGCAGTTCGGGATGCTCCATCTGTAGGCTCCCGCCTCACCTTTTCTTCGTGTCTTAACATGAAGCCACTTCTGTGAAAAAAAGTACCACAGGAGGCGTTAACAACATTTTTCTTGGATGAAATACGATATCAGCAGGACAATTGTTATGCTTGTTTTTAGATGAAAGCACGAAAAAACATAGGGGGAACTCGAGGAGTTTCCAAGGTGCATTGCAAATCTACGTACACTGTCGGCTAAAACAGCGAACCTTTTTTTTTGTTTTTGCAACAATCTGGCAACGAAGAACTTCATTGCGATCCATAGGCAAATGCGGAAAAAGAGTCATAATCGGTTTTCGTTTTAATCAAAGCTTCAGAAATGAGAATGACGCGAGTGTTCCTCGAAACAAAATTTTGGACTTAACGTTCCCCCAACGTTTTAAATTTTCGCAAAAAGCAAGTTTACGTTTCTTACAAACAAAGTGCTTTCTTTTTCTCTGCGCGGGGAGTGAGGAACAGATAAATTTTTTCCAGCAATCAATCGAAATGCTTAAAATGGCTTCAGAAAGCTTTATTCAAGCTTTGTTGTAAGTTGTTTTTAGGTCTTTTTCTCAAAATTTCCCGTTGGAAAGTCTGAAGAAACAAGTCCACGAACGAGTAAAGTATTTCGTATTTCGCGAAAATTCAGGTTGTTTAACTTAATGACCACATCCGTCTGCCTGTCTGACAACTTATGCTATAATTTCTTTCCGAGCATTCAATACATATTATAGTGCCGATCGCAATGGTTCTATGACTGTGTAATGACGTTATTTATTTAGCTTCTTGTTTTTAAGTTTGTAGCGGAGCTCCCGCGCGAAGCGCGCGCGTAGCGGAGCACCATGGGTAAGAAAATTTGGTAAACTATCCATCCGAGAAAATTTGGTTATGACGTAGCGTACGCCCGCCCGTCCGTACACACACTTCATGTAAGCCGATGTCAAATGTCACAATAGATCTTGCACAACTTGACTAGCCTCTTAGTTATGTAAGCCATCCGTATGAGTACGATTAGATTGACAGCTGTCAAAATCAGACATCCGCTGACAATTATCACATGACCGTCTCGCGGGCTCAGATAAAAGACCGGTCGTTTTGCCCCTATATATAAGCTGATATAAGTCACACTTACCAATTCAACATAAAAACGAAACTACGCCGGGCAAGGCTGTCAGTTGGCTGACAGTTGTTTAAAGTTACATTGGCAAGCCAAATTAAGGTCAATTGACAGCTGTCAAAATGGGACATGTGCAGACCACCATCAGAAAACTAATAACGAGGGCTCAGGTTCGCTCAGGTACACGATCTGGCATTTTCCACTACATTCCGGACGAAAATGTCCTACTCACACTTGTAGTCTGTTAATTCGAATATTCTCCCTTCTAATGAAGGTTAATTGACAGCTGTCAAACTAGAGTATACGCTGACTATCATCACCTGAGTGGATCGCGGGCTCATTTTTCTATCTATTGAGGTCACGTAGTGTTTAAAGTTTTGCGCTGATATTTTATTTGATCACGGGCTCAATTCGAAGCCCCATAGCTTTATAGAAAATCTATCCATCCTAGAAAATTCGGCAATCACGTGACCGTACACCGACCACCCGACCTTCCGTCCGTCCGCACCACAGGCATACCAATGTTTAATCTCACACTTTCTAGCTAGTTTGGGAGCCTGCAACCTGATATTGTACATCCATGTTTTGATTAATTGACAGCTGTCAAAACAGTGTTTCTGCTGACCAGTATCGCCTGACCGTATCGCGGGCTCAGGTATCGACCCTCTGAGTTCGAGTAATATTTTGAAGGTATTCGCTGACAAGTTGCTACTTTTCAAATGATCGCAGGCTCAAGTTCAATTTTTTTAAAATGCATATGAAATAAGTCGTGTTTCATGAGCCGCACTTTTAAAATGTTGATTTCGAACTGATCTCGGACACGAAAATTCAACCGGCTTTTACATTTACATGCAGGGAAGGCAATCGCTTTTGACTTTTCTCACTGTCACGCGTTGATCACGCTCTACGTCCAATTTTTATGTTCTGATTGGTCAAAATTTGACAGGTGAGTTTATGCGGAAAATTTTTGCAGCGTCTGGAAACTTGCTTACTGATAGCTGGAGCTGAGAGAGTTTTGTGTCATCTTGTGATGTTTTAAACTGTCTTTTTCTACTTGGTGTACAAAATGAAATACAGCTGCTATCAAGATTGTTCTGTAATTCGTGGCTGGTTTGTTTATTGCGCTTTTTGTTGACAAATGCACCGCTTGTCAAAGTCATTGGAAATCCGATTTCGGATGGCATCGTTTTCAAAAATGAGCTTACTCACTTGCCCTTGCTTGAGGCGTAAGAAGGTTGAAAAGTCTCAAGCGATTCTGGAACACTTGATGACCTTCAGAAGCAGCATCTCGACTGGTAAGCTTGAGCCATTATTGTTTTTGATGTTTTTTTTTTTCGGTTTCCTGAAGTCGAGCGTATGGTTTATGCGGCTTAAGTTAAAACACGAGCAATGATCTAACCTACAATAGTATCAGGTTTAAAAAGCCTTTAGACATTTTTTGACCCGCAAATTCAAAGAAAAGGTTCCGAAGATTATTTAGTTATGATTTTGGCTGTAAACAGAAAGCTCTGAGCGATTTTCTTGCCTCGAGTTCATCTTGAAAAAGAGCGAACACCGGGAAGCCGGCTTAAAACATAAATAAGCTTATGCTTGCCTGACTCATGATTTTCTGAGACACTTTACTCTCAATACTTCTCTTCGTGAATGAAAATTATTGTCTCTGTACATGTTTCACCGAATTAAACTTATTTTATTGATTGTTAGTAGTCCCTCTCGCAATTTTCATCGCTGCACCGGTTGTTTCCAGTCGAACATAAACATCGCATGTAGGAATACTCAAAACGCCGCGCGTAAATATCACTCGCTTTTAAAGATTACACATAACAAAATCATACACAGTTTAATGAATAAAGGGAAATAAAACCTAAACATAACAATTTCTCTATCATGTTGAAGCGTAAATGGTAACTCTATTAATCGCACTGCAAATTTGGTGCCTGTCAAAAGTGAGAACCCGTCCGGCTGGCCGAAAAGTGATTTTGGGAATTTTTTTTATGGTTTTCATTAAAAGCCCATAATTATTACCCTGCATATCACATAGGACCAGATTTTTCTAACAGAAAACGTTTTATAATTCAATGCTATAATTTGTTGTGCAAAGGAAGCGCGTGCTTTGATCGTCGTGGATATTGAATGAGTGCAAATTCTCTTGCAAAATTGTGAAAAACTGCAGAATTATAGGTTTAAATAGGGCAAAAAAGAACAAATTCTGTCCGAGGTCTGTGTACTGTTTACCTGAGACGTGATGAGAAAAGTATGTTTAAAAGGCTGGTTTACACGCCACCAGATTCGTCGCCAAGATTTACTAGTAGACTAAACTTGTCGGACACAAAAATCCGGCCTGATTTTTATTTTGGCCTCTCTTTTAGACAGAGGAATGCAACGTGTAAATTGGCTGCCACCAAGGACTATCGTGGCGCATGTGTTTCTTAAAATTATATTTCGAGGTTGTCCAATTATCCATAGTCTCTCTAACGGAGCAATGTTGGAGACACTGGTGAATACCACATTATGATGCTACAGCCAATGCAAATACTATACACGAATAGGTCTATTTGTTTTCCAGGCCTAATCTACTGTGATCGCACTTGATTGCTTATTTTCGGTGTACAAATAAGACTATTTAATAACTCGATGTAAAATTTGTTTCACTCTTGGACGGTCAAATTCTGATTTTTCTCTTAAATCACTCAGCCTTTGCCTTAAAACTCAAATGAATGTGCCCTGATCCGTGGATTACAAGTTTATTGTTTGATTTAAATTATGAATTTATTAACGGGAGCTTCGCTTTTAGCCCTGGCTAAATCTATATATTATTAATTGTAACAAAACATTTCGGGTTACAGATGCTATAATTTCACTCTAGAGACTCTGTTAAGAGGTTTCGTTGAAATGTCTCCTTTCAATAAAATTCTTCATAGGTGCATAGCATAGCATATAATTTTAGAAATGGACATTTCGGGCAAACTCACCATTTTGCTGGCACTCCAAAGAATGCGTTCGTTTTCCTCTTTAAGGAGGCTGTAGTGGCGGGACATATTTTCATCCTGGTGCTTTTTCCTGTCCTTTCTCCTGACCGTTTCTCCACATCCCTTGACGGTGCATTTCTGTACTTTGGCGGGGCATTGTAGTGTATGAGATGGGAGAAGAAACCTTGGGAGATCAATTAATAATGAGGATTACTCCATTACTCACTAGTACACAAGTATTCTCAAACTCTTCTTTTGTCATTAATTTTATATAGCCGCCCCAAGAAGCTGTGAACCTGTTTTCCTTTCTCTTCTTAAAAAAAGCAGATGTTATATAAAAACGTTTTAATGATCAATCTATGAGCTCTCTTAGGCTGGGATCAGGCTCTGTATTGGGGGAAAAATGGAAAATTAAATGTCCGCTTTGTTAACCAAAAAAAAGAAAAAAATAGGAGCGCAAAGAAAGCCGAGAGATGAGGGTCTCCAGCGGTCAGGCCTGGGAAAGGGTGGCAGAGGCTCCGCCGCCCTTCCCTCTTCCCCAATTCACCGCTCAACTCGATTCGCTCGCCTAAATTCTTTTTCCTGTTTGACTCCTTTCTTGACTCCCTCCTCCTCCCCCGCAGACCTGCAGAGCCTAGTCCCAGGTTAGAGCCCTCCTCTGGTAATTCCAATTTCGTCTATCAATCGTCGACATTTTCAAAAGACCCTTTTTTTCCAGTTACATCAATTTTAAGTTGAAACGATCTTTTCTCGCCAAAACTCCAATGCCGACAAACTGACGGCATACTAGCCCAGAGGTGTATATATTACATAAACTATTTTATTTGCTTGATAGAATCTGTACAGAAGGTCCTGAAATGACATAACAATCAATCTTAGTCTTCTATTTTCACCTGCGCGGTTTTGTAGCCCACCGGAATTGAAATTTCACTCTTTTGGTAGGTTAAAACACGATGAAGAAGAATCGCTATCGAAATATTATTTTTGCTTTTCTCATCAATACACTGTATAGATTCTATAGAGCAAACAAAAAAATTTCTGTCACATACACTTTTTAACGTACCTTTCTATCAATTCGCCGCAATCGAATGGGCATTGTATCTGTTTAAAACTGCAAAGACGCTGGTGGTGTTCCTCATCTTTTTTGTTGAACTTTTCGCTACAGTTGCAGATTATTTCCCGCATGGGGCAACCGTAGCCATCTTGGTGTTTTCTCCGTAGTTTTTCACTTCAGAGAAGGCACACCACTTCAACTTCTTAACATCGCCCTAGATGGTCTTTGGCAGCGTCCAGTTTGATCCTTCCCTTGCAGGCTAGGCATTCACCATCAATTGCAGTGATTAGATTGCTTGCAAAAATATTTTTGCAAAAGGCGATCACCACTTGGCGGCACATCGCACACTGAATGGCAGGGGATGTTTGCTGGAATCGGTAAACGCATTCGCCGCAAAACGTGTGACCACATGGCGTGGCTATTTGTGCGTCGAGTAGAGGATTCTTGCTAACAAAGCAGAATTAAAATACACTTTAGAATGCTGCGATCATCTAATATCATTGCGAACGAAAAAAATTCTCTCGCATCACAAAAGTTAAATTCCAGATGGATACCAAGGACAGAGCTCTGCAATGCGGGCGAAATGACTACAATGTGGTTTCAAAAGTAACTAAATTGTCAATTACTTACCACACATTACAAAGATACTCTTGGGCCCGGGGGGGGGCACTCCCGTATATGGGCTATATAGGTACGTGTCGCGGAATAGGGTATGGTTTTTGAGGTTCTCGGTCCTTAAATAGGGTATCTGTTTTGACCCTTTTGTTTCTGTGTCCCTGGTGTGGTCCTTAGATAGGGTAGCTTAATTGTATTATCTAATACTAGAGTGTGAAAACGCCCGCCTAAATGAACATTTTTTAAAAAAAACTAGGCTGATTCTAATATTTTATGACAGAGAAGAAATAAAGTTTTCCTTTTCATTCTATTAATAATTTTGTTTTTTCCTTGAATAGGGTGTCATTTTTCGGCTTTCGGCCTTAAAAAGGGTATCAGTTTTCGCTTTCTTAGTCCTTAAATAGGGTTAGGGTTCACGAACCTTCGCGGCACACCCCTATCCAAAATTCGCGGGAGTACCCCCCCTCCCCCCCCACGGGCTCTTGGGGAAGTTCCTCGCTATAACCAATAAGATCGAATAGGTCAGTTCCTGGTAGAGAGAAGCTCATCGTTCAGCGCAATCGTTTACTCTCGTAAAGTAGTAGGCTGATGAAGAAGCGTCTCAGATATTAAATGTGCGATGATTCACTGAGTGACGCTAAAATCGGAAGCTGATCATATTTCTTAAAACAAAGGGCTTTTACTCCCAAGTAACCATTGGGAAATTTGCTACCCATTCTGTTATCATGTTATTGAATGGCCATGATTTTTTTTCTGCTTGCTGTCCGCCTCTGCTTTTTTCTTAAAATCGTCGCAGTTCCTATTCTAGCCAGTGCGATTGCAGTCAACAAGGTTACAATAAGACTAGGACTAGACGAGAAAAGTCGTATTTTTTCTTTTCGGCCTTGCGCGCTCGATAAAGTAGCTCGCTTGCATGTGGGGGGGGGGGGGGGATTGGGAGAAGGTTAATTATTTTAGTTATGGCAGGGGAGTGTAGATTTGTTCATTTGTTTTTAATACTTTTTATTTTATAAGTTCTTCTAATTTAAAAATTCGAAGTGCAGTCAACCCCGTTGGTATGGGCACTGAAGGGCCCGTAGAACGTGTGCGGTGTATTCATGGTAGTTGACTGGAAAGTAACGATGCTTTGCTCAATTCCGGGTCAAAAAGAACTGAGTTCGCCGCTTAAAGAACATTACCTCGAAGAAACGCGTGTCTCCGAAGATTTTGGCCCGATCTAAAAATTTCCAAAGCGTTTTTGATGTAGCCTGTTTCAGGCTCTCAGATCTGGTGGGCATGACGCAAAAGTGAAATGCACGCGAAATATTAGCGCCTGATCCGCGTAAAACGGGTGGATCATTTGTTATTGAGGTTCTTCCGCCCATTGTCACATCGGTTGTCAAACTGGAAAATGTTTAATTTGATCTAAAAATTTTCCTCGCGAGTATCTGGCACTCTTAAAATCCCCAAAATGTTTGTAAGAAATTCCATGTGTTTCAGTTCCAGCCTATTTGAGATTCCAAGACAGCGTCCGTATATCCGACCTAGTCTATTTTGATATTTGCCGTGTGGCTTGTGGTGGAAGAATACGTTTTCTTTGAAAACTGAACTAAGAGCGGATTCAGTTTTTCAGCGTTTTGAGGAACTTTCGGTTTCAATTTGTGCTGAAGCAACATCTGAATTTTTTGCCTTGAATGAAGCCGTATTTGGTCTCGAGGGTCGGTTCTAGCAATTGACGCTGCTGAGTTACAAGAAAATAGCGGTTTCGTGAAGCCATTAGTCTAGTTTTTTTCTGAAATGAGTGCATCCGAATTACTTTATGTCACATATTTGTTTTGTTATGCTCTTCTCATTTCCTTAGAGTCGATTGCAGTTAGAATGGCCCCTCGAAAAAAACGTGGGTCTTGAATTCTGAAACCGGGGGTCTCGCCAGGTCTCGAATCTACCATTCTGTACCCCTCGTATTGAGCGGGTCATGTTATTTAAGGCAAAAAACACCTTCCGGTAGCACAAAAAAGGGGGGCATTAGCTTCGACAAATTAAGTGTGCCGTATAATTTTAACGTTGCTTATCCCCTTATTAAATACACGGAAGTTACATTTTAAAAGTCGCTCATTAAAATTACTCCTCAACCCTTTCTCGCGTCAAAACTGGCGTTGTCTCCCGATCAAAGCACTTTATGTTTTATCCACAACTCGTACAATATAAATTGTCGGATATGATGAATACCTTCAACAAGCTAATGGGAGTATCGACTCTATGATAGTGAAGAAAGCGACCCGAGAAAGTAAAGTCTCTCACGAAACGGATTATTCTAAACAAGAGACAGAAGAGATTGAACGAAAAGACTAAGAAAATTGCGCACTGCTGATATATATAAATAAAAAAGATATACAGTTAAAACAGATTAAAAAAGTCATTAACTAATTAAGAAAAAAGATCTTTAGTCTCCCTTGCAGGAGTGAGAAGTCGAGGAAGGATTTCTTTGGTTTGATAAAAGTAGTTGGGCTGTAAATTTCCATCGCACCTGTAAAATAAAACGATCTTTTTGCGACCGCTTGCTTCACTTTCGGGATATGAATATCATTGCAGCGTCTAGTTGTTACGGAGTGTACAGAAGCATTTAAATTAAAATAATTATTCAAATAGGGTGGAACTGAACAGTGAAGGCATTTTCTTGTTAACAAAACAATGTGAGTAACCAAGGCACTAAACCGAAGGTTTCATTCAATTCCAGTTTAGTATCGAGGCCAGAATTTCCAAAAATTAACTTCGCGGCTCTATGCTGTAAACTCTCGAGAGCATCAGGGTTAACTTTTCCACACCCGTGCCAGGCCACCTCACAGTAATCAAAAATGGGTAAAATCATCTTCTTGTCGAGGCGTTCAGCTGCAACCATGGGAATAGAGATTCTCAAAGGCCAAAGAACACCCAATTTTCTTGAATAAAACTTTGTTGACTACGTGCTCAATATTGTTGGTAAAGTTCAAGTGCTGATCAATCACGACGCCAACATATTTGAAAGAGTCGGATGCAGTCACAGAAGATCTGTTGTAGGATAAGCTTATACTATCTTCCCTCTTGAGCCGTTGGTATGCGCTATAATAACATATTCCGTCTTGTTCATTTTCAAAAATAGCTTGTTTTCTTAAAGGATGAAATTAACTGCAAAAAACGTGGAATTGTTATAAAAAAAAACCCATACACGTTGTTTTAAATCAGCTTTGCAGTAGTCTTTGGACTTCTCGTTCTTGTTTTCTTGCATCCATGAAGAAGTATGGTTGATATCAGGGTTAAGGCTTGCTTCTAACTCAATAGCAGTTTTAGCGGCAAACTCAACACTACATCGTCAGCATCCAGCAAAACTTGTGAGAAACAAATACAAGTGGATCCTTGGTACCACCTTCTTTAAAATGAAGTTCGGGAACTCCTCCAGGTGCAGCTCAACTTTTTGATTAATAAATACAAAGAGAACGGAGATTCGCTAGGTTCGCGTGAGCTCCGGAGTGGTGCTCTTTTATATAGTATAAGCAACAGATGTGAGATATGAAGAAAGACTATCTTCTGAAAGGTAATGGGACTCCCAAAAAGTTCTTAAAGATACAGAAGGATTCGAATCAACCGAAGTAGCTATCGACAAGTGAAAACTCTAGCTTATCGAATGTTTGTCAACCATGCAATTCCCGAACACAAAGACTAATACTTTCACTTTAACATCTCGGATTATAGCATTTCAGTCTTGTCAAACTTTGTCGAGATTCCTCTCATTAAACTTATATGAAATTATGCTTAGTTTTCTCTTTTTACGGCCCACCTGCCGCATGAGCTATATAGATACTTTTTATTTTTCTGAGAATTCTACAAGAATAATACAGAATTCAAAGAGAAAGGGGTTATTACCGCGCCCCTTCTGCCTACCCAGTTCATTCAGAATTTCAATCCGTAGCCAATTACTCGCGTAAATTTTATAGCGAGCGGACAAGGAAAAAAACACTTTTAAGGCGATTGAAAAACTCTATCGAAACAAACTAACACTGCAAAATTCATGCAAAACAAGGCGGAGTCAAGGGGTGGGCAGAAGGGGTGCTTAGAGTAATTGTCACGTCCACAAATTTGGAATATAGAACAAGAGAAAGACAGAGAAAAAGAGAAAGTGGGGCGCAGGCCAGCGAAGCTCAACGAGAAAAAGGGGGTCAGAGCTGTAGAGTGAGAGATAAAAAAGACATTTTTTTCCTAGAATTTTTTAGCGGAGGTGACAAAATGAGAGATGCTAGCGGCCACCAATGTAAAGTGAAAACGAGCGGCAGTGAAAAATAGTGAACGAGAACAAGTACGACATTTTCTCGATAAAACGTGTAACTTAGGAGTTTCACGTTGCAGTCGTGCAAGACAACGGCAAAGAAATGTACAAAAAAGTGTTCTATCGTTGTTTTTCGCCGTTCTCGTTGCCTTCACCCCTTAGCATTACACGATTTTATATTTGTTTGAACGAACTATAAATATTATCGAGAGCTTCGCTTTTAGCCCTGGCTGGTTAAACACTTTGTGACCTCATACGCATGATTCTCAATATGAACAACTTCTCTTGCAATGACAAAAATTACTTACAGACACATGGTACCGCTATGTGGACAGTGATAGCACCGTCATACGCCAACCTTTTTCTCGCCAAATTCGACACGGATTCCTTATCACTTGCCCCTTTCCAGCCCTTCATATGGTGGCGTTATATAGACGACATCTTCATGATATGGACATGATACTTCCCTTCTCAATTACATTCACCCCACCATAAAATTCACATACGACTATTCCTTCACATCCATACCCTTTCTCGATGTCAACGTNGACATTTTCTCGATAAAACGTGTAACTTAGGAGTTTCACGTTGCAGTCGTGCAAGACAACGGCAAAGAAATGTACAAAAAAGTGTTCTATCGTTGTTTTTCGCCGTTCTCGTTGCCTTCACCCCTTAGCATTACACGATTTTATATTTGTTTGAACGAACTATAAATATTATCGAGAGCTTCGCTTTTAGCCCTGGCTGGTTAAACACTTTGTGACCTCATACGCATGATTCTCAATATGAACAACTTCTCTTGCAATGACAAAAATTACTTACAGACACATGGTACCGCTATGTGGACAGTGATAGCACCGTCATACGCCAACCTTTTTCTCGCCAAATTCGACACGGATTCCTTATCACTTGCCCCTTTCCAGCCCTTCATATGGTGGCGTTATATAGACGACATCTTCATGATATGGACATGATACTTCCCTTCTCAATTACATTCACCCCACCATAAAATTCACATACGACTATTCCTTCACATCCATACCCTTTCTCGATGTCAACGTGTGACGGAAGGTTTTTCTACTTTGAAACGAATTTAAGGCTCAACGGGAACTCGGTGCTTGACTCACGATAAAACTGGGGAAAACTAGACTCAAATGCCAACTCGCTTGCGGGAAAGAGCCGTCACTTCTCTGTAGGCCCTTGGACCTGACCACTAACTGGTACAGCAGTAGATAAAACAGAACTAAACTTGGTTCCAACAGCGTTTATTATTCAGCGGATCAATAGCAATAACTCGGGTAGGACACGGCGAAATAATCGGCGATGTAATCGAAAAACCAGTTCGAAGCAACTTACTTATATATGATTTTTACAACCATTGAAGGCAAAAGAATACAATAGGAATATAAACAGAAATCACTTAGAGTTAAATAAAAACTAAATACAAATTCTATTTTTAACCTGAAATCTTTTGTTACTGTTGCTATTTTAGAAAGTAAAAGTACTGAGACCAAGACCTAGCCAGGTCTGCAAAACAGCGTTTATGTACAAAGTGTTACAATATGAATAAGATTGCAAGTCCAGCTATCGGCTGTTTAAACAGGAAAAGCGAAGACTAATTGGAAGTTTTCACCTTAAACAAAAACCGATCTAATTTTAAAATTACAAGACAGCAAAACCTTTCATATTCAAAATTCGGTTATCACCTCTCCTTAACTAACAACTTAATGAAATATACTTTTGCAAATAAATATAACTAAGTTGCAATTAGAACGAGGTACACCTGTATCAAAGGCGTTACTATGAATAGATGTCGTCTGGGGATTAAATCACGAAAAATAGACTGAAGTCAAATGAAACATTATTAAGAAATTAAGTATTCTTTCAAGAGTCAACACTGACGTAAAATGTATATAATTGAAAAGAGAACTAGCAGTTAGTTTTGATTGTTAAGGAACACTGTTGGGTTTTTTTGTGTGATTATTAAAAAGCGAACACAAAGCAAATGAAACAAAAAATAATAAAAATGGCACGAGCCTATTGTACAGATCCTTAATTTACGTACCTTGGATTTATGCTTAAACTGGCTCTCGTCGCATTTTGTAACGTGCACATGGCCTCCAAATGGAATGACAGGTCTGTCCTGTAGGTCTCGCCCACAATAATGCCGCAATAACGCATATACATTTCCCACTGTGTTTTTAGTCAACCCTAACATGTTAGCGGCAGTTGTGCGCAGCTCACGAACACTCCACAGGTATATACACAGGAGAATTTTTCCCATAGGTAGTCTGGGAAACTCCCCGAAAAAGCTTCCATTTCTGAGGGATTTCTTTCTGTGGCAGACTGAACAAAAACAAAAAAGGAAAAGAAAAAGAATACGTAAAAATCTAAATTATTCCGCCATTCGTGCTGTGATGAGGACCAGTAAATGCATTGCAAGACTTTGAATAGTGGACAACTTAACACGCCATGCGTAGTAGTCACATGGCTAGCTTGATGGTCCCTTATACTGGTATAAAATCCTCGTCTACTTTGTAGAGTTGCACAAGGGTACAGAAGTAGACAAGCCATGCTATCCTAGTAAGTTTGAAGGGTTTGAAATGACTGCTAGGAGAGAAACGAAATCCAGGCGCAGATCCACCGTTTTACGGAAATCGGTCAGCTTTTTCATGATAAACATTGTTAATAAATAAAGAATCTTTCCAAGTTGCAAGGCTTTATCTGAGGTGAATAGAACTGGCCAAAATCCTGTCTGAATAACTCAGAAACCCAGGAGAGGGGACTTTACGGAGTTATGATCTAAACCTTTCCTAGGAGAGCATTCCCCCGGAACCTGCTAGAAGCTTGCGGCTTCGGGGCGCTCGTTCAGGCAATCGGTCAGTATTTATCCTTGATCCGCGCCTGGCAATCAGTCCTCTTGCGTATAACAACGAAATTCATGTAAAATTTACACACCACATATAACCGTCCACGTGATTGGCATTCCTCTGAGTCAACTCCATTGCTTGATTGCATGGAACACATCTTAGTGGATTGGCCAGTAAATTACGACCCTGAAGCTATCGAATCAACTCCACAGCGGGGCCATTTGAAATAGTTGTTACATCAATGAGATTCATAGCCTTTACTCCATGTTCTCATCAGTGTACTGANACGTGATTGGCATTCCTCTGAGTCAACTCCATTGCTTGATTGCATGGAACACATCTTAGTGGATTGGCCAGTAAATTACGACCCTGAAGCTATCGAATCAACTCCACAGCGGGGCCATTTGAAATAGTTGTTACATCAATGAGATTCATAGCCTTTACTCCATGTTCTCATCAGTGTACTGATCAACAGAGCGGGGCTCAGAGTTAATAATTCTATGCGACACCCCTTATGATTTCCGGACTTTCCTTTTCAGGCATTTCAATACATTGCAATGTGAGACTTTCTCTATTGTCTCTTCATACACTTAACACATTCGTGCCACGTTTACTGTAAATCGGAGAAATCCAGAGAAGTTGTTATCTTGTCTAGAATGTCCGCCAGGCCAAGGAAACGAACGTTGAAGAGAACGTTTGTGCTCTTAAGACAGGACGACTCCTTACGTGTGCCTAGCTCAAGCGAGTTGAAACAGCTTACTGATAGTGGGAGAGTGAAGGAATTAGTCTTCACCAACACTGCGACGACCAGGCACGTGATAGACATCATTACTAATAATTTTCCCGCGTTATTAACAAACGCGAATATATCAAGGTAAGCATCCCTCTCTCCAGTTTTTTCTTTCCCGATTCTTCTTAATTTCAGCCGCGAAACTATTTCTCTGTTCCAGATTGCAGTTTTACAGGTCTATTGGCCAACCAATGGATTTGACATCTGCGGGCCATCAAGACCATATGTGCGGAGACACGTTAAAGGTTCTTTACAAACCTCAAAAATGCATTTTTTTGAGGCTAGAAAAATGAAGCTTTTGTTGTGATTTTCTTTTCCCTGTTTCCAGTAGAATAGGCTCCATGTGATGCATGTTTGTTGGGCTGCCTGGCTTAAATCTATTCCTGGATTTATTGAGGAGTGTGTAAAAATTTAGCCTGTTCCAGCGCCTCCTCAATTCCGCGGACACGAATATCTCGGAGCCTGGAAAAGGCTTGTTTGAAATGGAGCCAGCGAGGCACAATTGAAACTCCCAATCCGTGAATTTTCAGTTTTACTTTTTACGTCATTTTTACCCACGCTTGCGTGATTTGCATGGCTCGGTTTGGATGTGTCGATTGTCTTTACAAGATTAAATATAATCATTTGACAATATATTATTATTAATTTCTTAATTGCTGACGGCTACTTTACTAGGTACGAGTGGACCTGCCAGCTCAAGCCGTGCCAGCGGAGGCGGTAATCCAGGTAAAACGGCTCTACAGAATGGTAAATTTGTTCCTCAGTTGGCGGGATGTGGGAAGGGGCAAAGGCGGAAAGCGCGGGCGCATTTCACGAACAGCGGCTTGTATCATTGTATCTCGAAAGTCCCAGTTACTTTTCGGCCCCGAAATCAAATATTCAAATCGCAATAGAAAGAATAAGAGCGCTGGTCCTGGCTAGCAAACTACTCCATTTTGTTTCATTAACTGATAGTTGTATCATGTTAGATGCAAAACTATTGAAACCTTGACCTTAAATGTAAACGGAGACAGCTTACCGGGCCCGTTAATTGTCGGGGCTTTCGAGAAACGGGCCCCAGGTCCTCGTCTGAAATGTCGCGATTTAAAATCGCAAATAAATCGCATTATAATAAATAACCATTGTTTTTATTGTTTAATTCTCTTTCTTTTTTTACTGAGAATCGGTTGTAACTGATTTTTTTCCAACAAGGAGCGTTGCAGGGAGTGTTGCTGGGAGTGTTGCAGGGAGTGTTGCAGGGAGCAGCAGTACTCGTTCAGAAGGTGAGGATGTAGATCCAAGGTTATCGACATACATCTAACAATCAGCTTTGTCGGATTTTTAACCCCCTGAACAACCCGCATATGCGAGCAAAACTGAGATGAAGCTTGTCTTAGGGAGTCTAATAGCTTATCTTTGGTAAATAGGCCAATTCCGATAGATTAAAATTTATACTCGGCTACGAAATTTCTGTTGTTATACTCTCCAAGCTTCGGAGCCAATTTTGAATTTTAATTTATCGAAAATGGTCCTTTGGAACAATTTCCCTCAACTGATGCTGCATTTATTATGTAAAACCACAAGTGGGGAGGGGCTTTGAAGCCCAAAGGGGTAGTGGTAAAATGTCTGAAGGAAAGAAGGGGGGATGCCAATGTTTTTAGATGCCATGAAAAGACTAAGTATTAATTTTGTGACATAATGATAAATTTTGTGTCATGATGATAAACCACTACACAAGTGAAGTTCCTTATGTCGGATGTTTTTATTTGCAATATGTACTATTAAGATTAAACTGCAATGTACTTTTAATTGTACAAGCAGATTTTTGTACTTGACTCTTACATCTTAATATATAAAAATAATAACAATAAGTAATGATATAAAAGGTGTTTCATTTATTGATTAATATGGTCTGTTTTTGCTTTGAAGATGGCTCTGAGTCAGTTGAAGAGAGCCGCAGTTCAGATAGTGAAGATGGGAGTACAGCGGACAGTCAGGTAGAGAGCGATGATGAAGGTGAAAGGGAAAGCGAGGATGGCAGCGGAGAACGTGATAGGGAATCAAGTAGAAGTGTGGAAGTTGAGAGGTCCAGAGAAGCATCTGCAGGTACATTGTGTTCTTTGTACTGCCATTAACATATCTCCTTTGTATTATTCTATTATGTTGTGTTATTATATCAACAGTTGTGTCTAATTCTTGACGAGGACATGTAAACAAAACAGTGCTCATTTATCGTGAAAATCGAGAAACAGTCCAATAATTTTATCATGTCTTCTTTTCACGAGGTCCAAGAGCAACTTCTTTTGAGTTATGAGGACGGTATTCCAGACGAAGATGAGTTTTTGCTACTACACGAGCAATTTATGCCGAAAAATCCCAATTTCTCGTACGAGGAATACGACAGGTTTTCCCTCGATGAGATGAACGATGCCGAGTGCTTGGCAGAGTTTATATTTAGAAAGCACGACTTGCAAATTCTCTCAGAGGTTCTTCAAATACCTGATAGCTTCAGATGCTATCAAAGAAGTGTTGTTGACGGAATGGAAGGTCTCTGCATTCTTCTTAGAGGATTACGTTATCCCTGCAGATACAGTGACATGATTTCTCGATTCGGACTGCCAGTACCAGCTCTCAGTATGGTCAGTAATGACGTCTTGGATTTTATATATAACACTCACAGACATCACATAACACAGTGGAACCACAATGTGCTTAATCCAGCTGCATTACAGATTTGCAGTAACGTTATTTCCGGCAAAGGAGCTGCTTTACATAATTGTTTTGGGTTCGTTGATGGGACCGTTCGACCCGTATGCAGACCAGGAGAGCACCAAAGAGTCATCTACAACGGCCATAAGAGGGTTCACGCTCTAAAATTCCAGTGTGTGGCTCTACCCAATGGTTTAATTGGTAACCTATTTGGTCCAGTGGGTAAGTTTTGCGGGGAGGGTTTGCACAAAGAGAGAGTGGGCGATTTCAATTTCACTATGTTTTTAACAAGAAATATTGGAAGAGTGTCAGGGGTAAAGAGTGAGAGGCTTATGTGACAAACCTGTTCAAGAAGCATTTTTAGTTCCTTACGAATTTTTTACTTCCTTTTACTGTTTCAGAGGGTCGTAAACACGATGCTGGAATGCTAGCTGATTCAGGACTTCTTCAAGACCTGCAACGCTTTGCAAACTCACCAGCTGGCAATCCATTTTGCTTGTACGGCGATCCGGCATACCCTCATAGAATTTACTTACAGACGCCATTCCGAAATAGAGCCCTTACTGCCCCAATGATTGCTTTCAACCAGTCTATGAGTACAGTGCGGGAGTCCGTAGAATGGCTGTTTAATGACATTGTAAATTATTTTAAGTTTATGGACTTTAAAAAGAATCTAAAAATTAGTTTGAGTAGTGTAGGAAAGATGTATGTCGTTTGTGCAATTCTCAGGAAT